TGTAAAAGTGGACACCTGGGCTGCCTGTTCAACAAAATGATTTCACAGTAAAGCCTGGCGCCGCCCCCCTCACCACCACAAAAAGCTGTTAGCTCCCCCAATGTTGAGAATCGGTGATTTAAGCAAAACAAATCTAATAAAATAAAAACATTTACATTATTTTACCTCCATGTAGAGTCCAAGAGAGAAGCAAAGAGACAAATAAACATAGTTGATCATTTCAAAGCAAATAATAATGAAATAATTTGAGTCAATAGAAGGGAAGGACTCACGTCGTTGATCAGAACCGAGGCGTTCCTTGTCGCCTCGAAGTACGGCGTGTCGCATGTGTATCTGAAGTTTCCTCTGTTCTTCTCATATGAGGCTTTGTACAGGCGCTGTAAAAAAATAAAAAAATAAAAATAAAATAAATAAAAGGATGGTTGAAAACAAACAGAATGTATTCTTGTTGTAAACATGAATACCGTATTTTCCGGACTGTAGAGTGCACCTTACTATAAGCCGCATCTATAAAGTTTTTTTTTCTTTTAATTGGAAACGTATATATATATAAGCCGCACCGGGCTATAAACCGCTGGTATCTCCGCCGCTCTCGGTTTTCCACAATAAATAAGATCTACTGGATTTATTAAGGACGCAGCCCTGCGTCTCCAACACCGAACCCTGGATTCGTTCGCGCCGAGCTTAGTGCAGCGGTTCTATTTCCCTCCTGTACTGCCAGATCGATAGCCTTCAAATTAAAAGCTGCATCATATGAACTTCTTCGTGTTGTTTCCACGATGAGGGGGTATGAGTTTGAAAACATTTCTCCGTGGTGCCTGCTGCTAGCATGTGCTTGTTCTAAATGAAAATTAGCGCTTTCTTCTTTGATTTCCAATTTTGACTTTCAATGATTCACTTCCTGCTAAAGCGCCCCCTGGTGGTTGAAGAAAAATCCACAGAAAAGCCGCACCGGGTTCAAAGCAGGAAAAGAAATTAGCGGCTTGTAGTCTGAAAAATACGGTACATGAAATGTATTTTTCCCTCACCTCACTGTACAGAGCCTTGTTCCTATCAGCCATCACCAACTCAGGAGTGTCCCAAACGTAGCACCCGATACCCTTCACCCACTCCAAGTCCTCCTTGTACTTCACCTAAAAGCACAAACAAAACCAAGAGTTTCACTCAGATATCGCACAGCATGTCAGGCCTCCTGTTGGGTGCAGCTTTGCGTACTTACGTTGCTGATGTTATCGTTGGCTATCTTGCTGAAGAAGAACTCGGGGCGGTCGGGAATGGACTTCCACGTGCCCAGAGAGCTGATGTACTTTTCTCTGTATTTCACCTGTGGAGCAGAAACGGAGCGAGTCGCAAGTCATCCACCTCTAGATGGAAAACCGGTCATTTTAGAGCAGCTCGTTTCGACCGCTGACCTCGCTGATGTCGTCAGTGAATTTGCGGTGGCACACGATGTCCAGGGCGTCCTTGTCGGTGTGATAGTGGCCCTTGGAAAGCTCGAAGGTTTCCTTGTAACGCAACTGAAGGGAGAAGAAAATGTGCGAAAAAGGTAATTTTTAAAAAAATGCCTATTTAAGCTCTGAATCAGAAAACATTTTCTAACAAAGACTTACATTGCTGGACTGCAGGTAGGCTTTCTTGGACCGGATCAGGATAGGCGTATCAGCGATAGCAGTGTACCTGTGCTTCATCTTTTCATATTGCTCTTTGTATTTATTCTGAGTGGAGAACAGAAGACGTAACATATTAGATGTTCGTTTTAGAAAACCTCAATGGGTTCAGGTAACCTTATTTATTAAGTACATTAGAGGAAGCTGGAGCGCTTACCTCACTGAAAACAACTTTCATTTTTCTTGCGTGCTGAATACTAGGAGTGTTCATTTCTGGAGTGAAATGAGTTCTCTCCTTTGATGCCAGACTTGTGTACTGGTACTGTAGAAACAACAAAAACAAATCAAATAAACAATCAGAATATATTACAGTAGAGAAAATAATAAATAAAGACCAGAGATGTGTCTCAGCTTGCCTTGTTAGTCAGCTGCTGGGCCCACTTGACTCTCTTTATGTCCAAAGAGTCTGCGATGGAGGAAACCTTCATCATGTCCTTCTTGCTCTGGGCTCTGTATATGCGCTGAAACGACACAAGAAAGAAACACAAAAATTAAACCTGCTGCAAAAAGTACATGAAAAACATGCAACGTTTGAAAACCTTTAAAGGATATTGCACATTAAATAAAGCTAGCACACCTGTCAGAGATCAGTAGATCCAAATCTGACTTAACAGAGTATAAAAAAACATGCTGAACAAAACATGTATGAATTTTATGATCCTAATGATTTTCTTGCATAAAGGTCAAATTTTTGGAGCAACAAATAGTTTGTGTTGGTCAATTACATAAAATTAAAATAATAATGTAAAAAAAAAAAAACTTTTCCAAAAACAGCTCACATCACTGAAGTGAGTCTTCAGCTCAGTCACGCGGTTGTACTCTGGCGTATCCAGGACCACGGTGTAGTTTGACAGGTTCTTCTTAGCGTCCACCGGGTAGCTCGTCTGTAAAAGGAAAAACAGGCGATATGAGAGAACCGAAAACAAACACTGGAACGGCGATGGGAGCATTTCTTCCAACGCACCCTGAATTTGTTGATGTTCCGGACGTGGACCATCTCCGGGGTGTTGTACAGGAAGCAGCCGACACCTCTCAGCCACATCAGATCTTCTTTGTACTTCAGCTAAAACGACAAAGTTCAACAAACTTGGTTGTAGAACATATTTTTGTGAAGAAGCGGGGGGCAATAACGTCTGTTTTTCTTGGACGATACCTCGCTGGTGATCTCATTGACGTGATGACAGTGCATGAGTTGGGGCGTGATAGGCATGGAGATCAGCTGGCCTCGGCTGTTGTAGTATTTCTCCTTGTAGCACAGCTGGTGGGGGAGCAAAAACAAAAACGGGCGCGTAAAACAAAGCAGGTCCTCTCAACTCGGTCAAACCAGAAAAGTGAACAACGTCGATGACGGCGGCGTACGTCGCTGAGGTGTTGTTGGTTCATCTTGAATTGTTTGAAGTCAGGAGTTTCGTAGGTTGTGTGGATCTTGTCCTTCTGCTTGTGGTAAGCCTCACGATACAGACGCTGAGGACGAGAACAGACGGGAATCGTTTCGGTGAGTGAAGCTATCACTCGACGGGTTACGGGCCTCTTCGCTCGTTTCTTCACTTACGTCGTTGATGATCTTGTGAGCCTTTCTGGAGGTGACAAAGTTGACGCCTTCAGGATGAAGAGTGTAAGCTTTAGCCTTCACCATCTCAAAGGCCTCCTTGTATTTCACCTGAACAGATGAGAAACGACGTGTGTAACGTAGGTCAGATCGCAACACCTTAAGACACGTTCCTCTACCGCTGTCGAAAGTTTGAACGCTCACGTTGCTGGTGACGATGCTGTTCATCTTGGCCTGCTTGATGAGCGGCGTGTCGCTGGGCAGAGAGTAGCCAGTGGGCATGAAGCTCTTGTTGGCCTCTTTGTACCAGTTCTAGAAGACGCCAAACAAGTTTCAGAGAGATTATTTCACGATGTATGATAAAAAAAAAAAATATGTGGAATATTAACTCACGTCACTCTGGATGTGATTGGCCAGGCGGGCTCTTTCCGTTTCCATGGTAACAGCAGGGGAGGTGTGCTTACCCTTGACGTTGGCGTTGTAATCGTAACGGTAGTGAAGCTGGACGAAGGGAAGGGAAAAAAAACGATTTGACTGATGATGCTGACTGTGTTTATGATTAAATCAGGCGTGGTGAACGATGAAGGTTTCCTGTAGGATATTTATTTTTTCAAAACGTATCTGAAACATTGTGCATGATGGCCAAATTATATAAATTCACTGTGTTACTGTCACTCAAATGCTGGATATGTTAACATAAGGCAGGAGTTAGCAGTGTTGTCTTTTCAAAATAACGTAAATTGTAACACTTCATATTTAAATGCATTTCAGACTCTGATTCTTGTTAGTGTGCAAATATGGGCTGTATGTAGAGCTCTGGAAAAAATTAAGAGAGCACTTAAAATGATTGGTTCCTCTGAGTTTACTTTTCATAGGTATGTGTTTGAATAAAATGAACATTGTTCTTTTACTCTATGAACTATTGACAACATGTCTCCTAAATATCAAGCAAATATTTAGTATTTATGTGCAGAAAATGAGACATGGTCAAAGTCATGAAAAAGATGCAGTGCTCTCAGACCTCAAATGGTGCAAAGAAAACAAGTTAATGTTCATTTAGAAACAACAATACTAATGTTTTAACTCAGAAATCAGTATTTGGTGGAATAACCAGGAGGTTCAGTGCAGAGGGTTCTTCATTTTCTCCAGAGCTGCATGTATTCATAAATCTCATATTGTTTTAAAATATATTTAAAAAATTAAATAAAAAGTGTGGCGGCTTTTATTTTGCCATGGCGGTGCACCATGATTAATTACACATAGTGGAAACCCTGGACAACAAATGTTAATTTAGAAAGTGAATCAAGAAAATCAATAACTTCATAACATGACATAATAATAATACGATGAAGATGATTACATCACTGAGGTTCTGAGCGTTCTGCTTGGCTGTTTCATACACCGGAGTGTCCGTCACCACGCTGTACTCCTTGAACGCTTCAATGCCTTTGGCTCTGTACTTGGTCTGGAATGAAAAACAAAAAAAAACAAATGAGCGTAAAAGACAAGCGATAAGCCACGATGTGAAATTAAATTAAATATGAATACATTAAAAGCCATTTACCTCACTCTGCAGGACACCAGCATGCTTCACACGGAGGATCTCTGGAGTGTCCCAGGCGTAACACCCGATACCCTTCAGCCAGTTCAGGTCGTCCTTGTAGAAGATCTGGGTGTGGATGACTTCTATTTAGCACTTTATATTAACCTCCTCTTCACCTCTTTCTACTCAGAGATGCCAGTGAACCTGACACCTGTCTGACAATTACTCACGTCACTGAGCTGCTCGTTGACTTTGCGTGCCTGGACGTACATCTGCATGTCAGGCATGCATATCCACTGGTGCAGATACTTGCGGTAGTGGATGCCGCTGACGGTGGACTGGGTGTTGCGAGCGGACAGGATCTCCAGCATGTCCGGCGGGATGTGGTTCTTGGCCTTAGTCTTCTCGTAGTTCTCCTTGTACAGACGCTGAATGGGACAAGAGGCAGACGTTTGTGTTACTAGAAGTACTTGGAGCTTGTCACGACCGTGAGTCATTCTTGACAAAGATGGTTTAACTTTTGGTGATCAGATGATTAAAAATAAAATAAAATAAAAAAAAAAACAACTTACATCTAGAACCAACTTTCCGGCCTTGACGCAACGAGCAGTAGCAGGATCGTCTTCGAGTGACTTTGGCAGACTGTAGAGGGACTTGAACTTTTCATAATCCTCCTTGTACTTGACCTAAAGAAGAAAGAAGATCCATATAGTCCCACAAAGTAGTTTTAAACAAAACCACCTCTTGGTTATGATTCTGTAAGAGCTGAACTTCAACTTACGTGGCTGAGAACGACCTTCTGTTGTTTGGCGTGTTGCAAGGCGTTGGAGTCAACTGGGATCTTGTAGCTCTTTGCCTTGATCTTATCCCAGGCGGCTGTGTAGTTTTTCTTCGGGTAGGAAATTGAAAACATTGCAAAAGTGTTCCAGTGCATCTAAAAAACTTTTTTTTACACGTGAAACATTTTTTTAATTATTATTTTTACTCACATTGCTGAAGAACAATTTGAAGTCGTGGCATCTGGCATAATCGTGCGTGTCCAGAACTGTGGTGTACATGTGCTTCTCTTTGTGATAAGCCTCCCTGTAGTTCAGCTAGAAAACATAGTTTAAGATTAAAGATACATGCAATTTTTTTTTTCTGTCCAGACCACAAATTTACGACGATTTTTTAAAATCACGCCGACTTACGTCACTGGCCCAGGTGTGACCCAGGACGGCGGTCACGTACTCAGGCGTGTCGGTCACAATGGAGTAGTTGTTAAACTCTTTCTTGGCGTCAGCTCTGTATTTACGCTGGAATATAACAAAGAAAATATTTTGGAGTTGATCATATTTTTTCTCTCTCTCTCTGAAACTTTAACGAACCATTTAACATGAAAATACTGACTTCGCTCTGCAGCTCGTAGGACTTCTTAGCGCGAATGATCTCTGGCGTGTCCCAGACGTAGCAGCCGATGCCCTTCATCCAGTTCAGGTCGTCCTTGTAGAACACCTGTTGAATTGCATTGGTACATGTTGTTTCTCAACAGAGACATAAATTAGACTTTACTTTCTCAATGCTTAGAAGAGACGACGGCAACTAGGGCTGTAGGATAATATCGATATCGCGATATATATCGATATTTTCTTTCCTAGAAAAAAATCAATATTCATCCGCAAGTATCGTAACATCCAGCTGTCACCTTGCACGCTCACTGCTTGCTTCGCCGGGAGAGTGATTAGGTCATCAGGCTTAGAGTGATTCCTTCAGATGATAAGTGTCAAGGTTAAAAAGGTATCAAACTATTCAGAGCAGGGGATTTGGGGCACTTTATTTACTTTACAAATGCAAGTAAGCTACAGTTTGTACTGTTTCAATTAAAAGAAACATGTTTTCTCACCACTTCTTTGATTCTTTTTGTCCAGCTGTCGACTTTAAGTCTGTGTCCATGTCCAACCAGAGCCAGGTATTGTGTAGTTGGTGCTTTTAATCAGTTTTCAGTTAAATTAATTCAATCCAACTCTATAACAGTCACAAAGTGTCACCAAAATACGCTGTCCCTCTAAAATCTTTCAGAAAATCGCAAAAGTGTATTGAATTGTATTGTCTGATGAATATCGCAATATGTATCGTATCGTGGACAGAATATCGTGTATCGTATCGTGTCGTTAGATTACTGTATCACTACAGCCCTAACGGCAACAAGAGGAATGTTTTCCGTTTGTAATTTCAAAAAGATCACGCGACGCGTTTGGACAACAACCCGATCGGGACGCAGCAGGATGACCTACGTCGCTGAGAATCTCGTTGGTCTTCCGGGCCCGGATGGCGTCCTCCTGCTCCGGGTGGCAGGTCCACTGGTGCAGGTGGGTGCGGTACAGGACGTCGCTCAACATGTCCTGGCAGCGCTTGGCCACCTGGTTAGCGATGATGTCAGATGGGAGGTGTATTTTGGTCTTGGTTTGGTGGTAGTTCTTCTGGTAGAGCCTCTGTAAAGACGCACATTAATACAGAAGAAGGATGAGTCAAGCTCCATCTTCAGCCAAAAACGCAACTGAAAGAAAACACCTTTATCTTTCTTTGCGAAAGTAGAAAGTGTACTTAATCAGCAACTTACAAAAGACAAAATATGAATTGATTTACATTCCTGTTTTGTGCCTTTGCTCTTTTCTACACACATCTGTACAAGAGTCATGTTTTCCTTCCACTAGAAAATGACAAGCTCTTTGTTTTTTAATGTTTATGAACTTATCCTCAAGCTTCTTAGGTTTCTGTAAATAGTTAAAGTTGAATTTAGCTGACATCTTACCAGTCCCTTGTTTTTCTCCTGCTGGCCGCAGCGCATCACCTCGGGGAAGTCGACCAGGGTCCCAGCCATGTAGTGGCCCTTGGCTTTTTCATGAGAATCCTTGTACTTCACCTAACAAAAACAATGGCAGTATTCATTTTATTTACATGTAGCCAGAGGAAAATATACAATCACATGTATTTTTAGCAGAAAAGAGTAAAAACTTACATCACTGGCAATCTCCCTGCCCTTCTTGCCGCTCAGTAACGGGATGTATTCATGGTTCAGGTTGTAGCTTGTAGCTTTAGAGCTGTCCCATTGCGATTTGTAAAGTTTCTAAAATGAGAAAAAGAGTTAAAATGTCATAAATAAAAGTTTGAAGCCAAAGTAAAGGTGGAGAAAGAAGCAACTCAGTCTGCAGATTCACGTTACCTCACTGATGGTCTTGCCCATTTCCCTGCTATGTGCCAACTGAGGCGTGTCCTCAGAGCCGATGTAATGACCTTTTTCTGCATTGAAAGACTCTTTGTATTTAAGCTGTTGGAAAAAGAAAAAAAAAAGTGTAATGAACATTTATTAATTAATTGATTTTTCCTCTTTTTTAAAAAACTTTAATTTATGATGTGAAGCGCTCGATTACATACGTCGCTGAGGTTGGCGGCGTTTATTTTTGCCAAAATGATCTCGGGACGATCCACGATCAGGCTGAATTTTCCAAAGCATTCTTTGGCGTTCTGCTTGTAAAGCCTCTGCAGATGAAAAAAAAAAAAACCACCAAGATGAACCACGACATGACAACAACAACTCAAACAAATAGCAGACGTCGGATGTGCTGACAGAACCGTACATCGTTGAGTATTTCCTGGGCTTTCTTGACTTTGACGTGATCAACAGAGTCGGCTGCCACCCAGCCGCAGCCCCGGATCCACTCCAGATCAGCCCTGTAGACGTTCTGCAGACGGAAACCACAGCGAGTTGGGAATAAAAGCTTTGACGTTTTAAAGGATCCATACAAAAGTTCGTCGCTTGTTTGCTCACGTCGCTCTGAAGTTCGTAAATCTTCCTGGCCTGGAC